CAGCGAGGGCCGGCCGGAACCTCCCTCATCCCGCTTCGCTTTCATGCGGAATTATCTTTGTGCAAACACCGCCCGACCGAGGGGGAAAAACCACCCCCCTCGTCCCCGTCCTGCGATATTAGAACTGATTTATTAAGGAGATTGGGGAGAGGGGGGGGGAGGTGTACAGAGTTAACATTGTTTTTGTATTTATTGTGATTTAATACAGCCAGGGTTTGGTTCGGGTTTTATTCACACACACACACCCTCTCCTGCAGCAATATCTGGTCAGATTTATAATTCATCTGCTGCCACTTTGAGACAAGAAAAGAAAGAAAGAGGCAAAGTTGTACTTTGAGGGATGGCCGGACAGACAGACGGATGGACGGCGGCGCAAAGGCCGGTATCCACCGGACAGTGTCCAGCGGGAACGGCAGGGACCAGCCACAGCCTCCCGCGCCACAGTGACGGCAGAACCATCGCACACTTCTACATTTATCATATCTATTTTTTTTTTTTTAAGGAAAGAAATCATTAAATAGCAACTTGGCTCTGCCTTGGCTGCTGGTAAATTTCTTACGGCCCCAAGAAGTTGCTCTTAATTGTGAGACTCCGGGTCTCTGCAGAGGAGCAGGAAGGAGAGAAACAATAACCACACACACACACCAAAAATAATTTAAAAAATAATAATATTAATAATAATTTTTTTAAAAGACAAGGTTTAATTAGACGAAACCAACTTTGCTTGTGCCTCATCCAGGCTTTGGTCAGTGATGGTCATGATCTGATGGAGGATGTCGCCGATGTCCTGCTTCCTGCCGTCGCCGTCAGCCCCTTCGTGTCCGTGGGGAGGCGGCAGGGCCATGCCCCCCTGCACCGAGTGCCCGGCCAGGTTCACGCCGGCCAGAGTCTGCAGCATCCTGGACTGATCGTCCATGGCTCCGGGCCGGGCCGCGCTCCGGGCGGTCACGGCAGCGCCTGCCCCGCTCAGTCCCAGTGCCGCGCTCCTGACCGCGCTCTGCACACACACCACGAAAAAAGGAAAAAAAAAAAAAAAGCCAAACAAAACAATAACAAAAAAATGTAGTATTTGTGTTTTGACCGGATCTCAGCTGTTTATTCCACTCTCTTCTCCTTCCCAGGGCAGTAAATCACTCTCTTCTTTAGTTACAATCTTCTTTCATCATCATCATATTGGTGCCTCGGATAAATGAGCTGAGCAGATTTCTGTGAGGTTTTCCTGGTACAATCTTCTTCCAAAGCTTTTTTTTCCCTTATTTATTTTTATTGTTGCCTTTTATGTCTTTCCCCACTTGTCCAAAAATCTTCTTTGCAAAAAGGCAAAATTAAAAAAAAAAAATTAAATACAAAATCAAAAAAACTCGCTTTCAAATCCTTCAGAAGTTGGGAGGGTGCAAACAGCAAAAACCACAACAAACCAGCGAACACCCCCACCCCCAAATTGCAACATAAAAAAGCCAAGAAAACACAATCACAGAGGGAAAAAAAAAATTAATCGCCCTCCCCCCCAAATAACAAACGATCCCAAGTCTGTGCACGGGGGTGAGACAGCAGCAATCAAAAGTTTGAACTTGTGCAAAGAAAAGAGCGGAAATAACGGGGAAAGAACTGTAAAAAAATTAATTACACACTCTCTGCAAAGCAATGTGCAAAAATATCGGCCCGCCGGAATTTATGAGCCCCGCGCCCGGTGCCCGCGCGTGTTTTATGTTGTTTGATGGCCGCTCCGGTGAGGGATTGACAGGCTGCCAACGCCACTCACTCACCGCAGACGTGTCACCCTGTGAAGGAG